GCCTGGGCATAGACACACACAGGCTTGGCAGCCTGCAGCAAGAAAGTGCGATTGCATCACACTTCATCAGATACCTGTCCTGGTCATTAGACTGGATTGTTGAAGTGTCAGACAAATCGTTTGGATATATTTCAAGGAGAGGGAATAAAGGCATGCCCGGGTTGCTGCTGATGAATGTGGCAGGAAATCTTCTGGAGGAACATCAGTGGATGGCAGTGTGACACCTGTTGAAGGCACCTGTTTAATGCAGATCAGTGGGTGTCACAGTCCTAATGCTGTTGACTGTTTTCCTGTTGTGAAGGCTGCTGCCAGTAACTCTGTTGTTGGAAAAAGTGTATTTTCCTTTTAGTGGGTTTGCCTTAGTATTTCATTGCTGACATTGGCTTTTCCCTGGTGTGCGGAGCTAAATCCACATAAACCTCAGTAAATGTAACTGCACAAGAGGAGATGATACATTGCCGATCAGTGCAGGCTGTGGGGAAATGGTCCTGGTTTGTAAGTTATATCCCAAACTCCCCATAGTTGCAGCAGGATTTATCCACGTAGGTGCCTTCCTGTGTATCAGACCAAGAATAACCCCCTTGCACAGTGATCACCTCCAGCCTTGCATTGAAAGGTCCGTTATAGGAAATGATAGACCTGTGATGAAGGTGGCTCACGCTAAGGACAAGTGGGTAAGTGTAGCTGCTGGTTCAGTCTCTGTTTACCCTGGGGGAGATGCAATCAAGGGAAATACTAACAAGCCATGAGCGTTTAATTCACTGGGCGGTGTGGAAATAGCACCTCTATGCTCTCGTGTTTGATTCAACGGGAGACTGAATCAAACCTCTGTCCAAAGCAAGGAGTGGTGACTGTATTTTGTTGTCTCTCTGGCTGGTCCCACCACTCGTTCAGAAGGAGAACCAGGAGCCGGAGCTGGAGCATCAAACATGCTTCCCAGTAACGTGCTCTTTTGGCACTCCCAGGGGTGATCATTGGTTTGTCCGTGCCAGAAATAAAGCAGCCATAGAGGGGGACTTTGCAAATCAGACTGGCTGCCAAGCATGGAAAGTGGTATCTGTTTTCTTAAGGTGCCTCTGAAAAATGTCCTTTGAGGCAAGTAACGGAGGTGTGCAGGTGGAGTGGTCCATGCCTAGCCATGCCCAAAGATGCTGGATCTCTCTGAAAAAGCCTCACCTTCAGCTATCCTCTCTCAAATAAGAGCGGGCAAGGCACATGGGAGTCTCAGCTCACTCATCCTCCCCCTGAAATTACCACCAAGAGATGCAGCTCGGGGGCCTCATCCTTTCCCTCTCGCAGGTTTTCTGGTGGTATGATTATTTTTTCATGAATGCTGGTGTAAAGAAGTCGAGTCACTAAAGGCAGTGACACAAGGCCAACTGCAGCAGTAGGAGAAACCCTGCTGCAAGAACTGCTGGCTGTGGAAAATGAAAAAATGGCATGCTGTGGGATAGGTCTGGCTGCTGGAGTCCCACTGGCAGGTATTCACTATCCAAGCACTGCAGAGAAATGCCAGGGTCTGCTTTGTTGGTTTGGCTTTTGTCTGTTCCGAAAAGACCACGCTAATTTCAGGACTGCAGAGAATGTGCAGGTGGTAGGGTGCTGGGAGCACCACCTTGTCTGTGCACGGGAGCTTTGGACAGCAGAAACTACCTCTGGTTTGGGCTCTCAAAGGGATTGCTTCCCGAAAAAAAAGGTGGTTTTCTCCAAAATAATTTGTCCCGCTTCCACTCTCTCCAATTTGAAATAATGAGAAAAAGAATTGGCACCAGCAATCAGGCTGACATTTTCAATCTGATGTAATTTTCCTCTGAACTTTCGAAATCAGATTTGGAAATACAGCAAGGAAACAGTAATGTTTTGTGCACAAGAGGAGGCAGATCAGCTAATCTCAGCTGATGACCCCAGCATGCTTCTGCTCCTCCAGTCCCCGGAGACCTGATGGTACTTGGGATGGGACCAGTCCACACAGGATGCAGTGGCCTTAGACTCTGGATACAGGACTAATTCCCCTGTAACCCTTTTGCAATCCCCAAACTTCTCTTGTTTCTGTGGGATTTTGCAGATGTTTTCTGCTGAAAAACACATATCTGAAAGCAATGTCACAAGCCAGGGGAGATGGACACGTGCTGGTGTCCATCGTCACTACCCTAGAGCTGCTGCAGGCAGAGGACCTTATTCTCTTCGTAGGCACATGGATTGGCCAAAGCATGGTTCTTCCCTATGGGATTGCTGCAAAACACGTGCCCAAGAGACTTCACAGTACAGATGGCAGAGTGCACTCTCACAGTGCATTAAAAAGTGTGCCTCATGCACGTGGGCTGGGGCCCAGTGAATAATTCATAAGTGGCAATGGTAGGATTGAGTTAGCCATCCTTCTCTTGTGCATGGTTTTGCTCAACTTTTCATAGCTTTGAAACTGCCACCTGGTGAGATGGTTGCCAGAAAGCAGTCTGCATGTGCCGCTAGTACCAAAGTTTGCTTTTCAAGTGACAACCGCGTGACGTTTTTTTTTTTCCTCAACGATTTCACCAAGCTGGATGATTAAATAACACTGTCACTCTAGACAGAGATGTGCATCTCCCTTGAGGTCTTTCGTCTTATCTGCCCTGTGTACAGAAAGCATCTACCATGACGTCTTGGCCAGAGACGTGTGTCTCGTAATGGGTCCGTGGGGAGCAAGCAGTTGTGATTCATGGTTGCCTGCGCGCCCGTTGTATCATCATAGGAGCACACTGGGAAGGTGCAACGTTTAAAACTTTTCTAGGCTTAAAACCTGCCAAGAGGATTCACTTTAAACCAGCCTAAACAGCCGAGCAATTTTCTTTGCTTTTCGTTTCCAGCATCTCCCATGCTGGGCATGGCTTCAGGCACAGAGCTGGCTTGGAGGTGGGGGGTGTAAGAGTGGGGCAGTTCTCCTGCTGGCATCCCAAATGCCACAGACTCTGTTACACTTAAAGACCTTCTCTGTCTGTGTTTTCAGATAAGCTCCCTGCCTATTTTCTGTTTGAAAAGTCAAAAGCCAGCGTTCAATCCCCTTCTGTGACCTGTATGATATTTCTGAGCCTTTTGGGGGAGAAGGGGAAGAAAGATCTGGATGAGCTTGCTAACAGAGGAGGAGTTAACATGTCTAATGCCTCAAGGAGTCTGCATGCCCGAGGCCAAGCCAGAGATACAAGTTGCATCCTGTGGTGCAGCAACACTATTTGAGCAAAGGTGTAGGAGGACAGGACCTGGCAACCTCTACTGCTGCCTGGGAGACATGGCTAGGTTCTTGCTTGACCAAAAAAAAAACTCATTAAATGCTTGGAGCAGCTGGAAAGCTCTTGGAGCAAGGAGATGTACTGAGAGCTTTGATCCTCACTCTGATTGTGCAGGCTAGGATGCTGCAGTGGCGAGGAGCAAGGTAGAAGGTGTTTTCCTTAGAACTCAGGATGTACCAGTCTTTGAAAAGCAGCGGAGGACCACTTGGAAAGGGAAATCTGCAACATGGAGCTTGTTGCAACCTTAGGTCAACAGCTGTGTGCTCTTTAAAGTGATAGAATGCAGCCTTGCGCAGTTTGGGAAGAAGACATCAGAAAATGAGGCGAGAAGATGGCTGTGCTGTGAAGCATGTTTTCACAGACTGCCTTTGGAAATGGACAGGTTCAAGTCCTGTAAGGTTCAGAGTCTGATTCTTGCAACTTTCAAGTCTCACAGACTTGTTCAATTTGGCTTCGGGAGGTGGGCAACTTGCTTATTTTCTTCAGGAATAGCCAAAAATTTCCAAGCGGATGCTCCAGTAGGTCCAGCATGTTGCATGCATCTCACATAAGAAGCAAGACTGGTTTTGCAGCTCTTCTTTTCCACCAGAACTGCTGACCTAGGGCCTGTGAAAACTGAAG